GGTAATGGGAACCCTGATTGCTGGCATCAGCGAGGTTGACCGGTGAACGGGTGACAGAGCAATTCTCAGGACGGTGTCTGTGTCAGCGCAGAACTCAGCTAACCAGAGATGCAAATCGATTTGACACAGAGCAGTGGTTGTGGTCCTTTCTTGTAAGAAGGGCTTTTGTAGGAAACTGCTGAAGTGTTGAGGATTTCTGAATAGTTTGGCAGAAGGTACCGGACAGGACATAAAAGCTCAGATGGATATCTAATAATGGACATCTAATAATAAACTCAGTTGAGGGGAACACACACACACAGAGAATCAACTTATGTTTCAAGAGCTTAGATGTCATGCAATATTGAAACCGGGGACTGGGTTTGCATGGAGACTCAACAAGGATATTCTTGCAGTCTTTCTAGCTTTGTGGACTACATTTACAATACAATGAGCTTTCCAAATATCCAATATGCACGCTGACTAAAAATATCCTGTCTGAGTTAGGCAGAGGAAGGAGCAACCAAGAGTGAAGTCCTACCCCAGAGGAGTTGGGCTTAAGTCTTCCCTTCCAACAGAATCAATCAAAGTGGAATAAGTTTTTGGCCTCACAATTCACCGTGGAGGGCAAGACAAGTGCTCCACAAAAGAAAGAGTTTTTTTATACTTTTTTGTGCATGTTACCTCTCCTGCATGTAAACTGCACAAACTAAAAGGGATCAGTGTGTTTACATGTTGTTCAAAAAGATCAACTATTGCCTTATCTGACTGAAGCTGGACTTTTCAAATACATGTAAACACATTAGTAGTGAAATCACACTAAATTAAACTTCTCATAGTTCGACTAACACACTGAGATAATGCTGTTGGGAATCGTTTTTCTCTTCCAAGTACAAACTCAATCAGACTGACACTGGCTGAAGCCTTCTGCACATGCTAAAGTGTACTGTAGTGGAGGTGGACATGCTTCTGTTAATCATGTGCTGCTTGTAAACTGGGACAAGGACAGTAGTCCAGTTTAATCACCTACCTGAACTATAACCACCAAAAAAATTTTAAAAAATGAACGAAGAACTAACTTACCAATAAATGAAGTGCGACAAGGAAACGGATGAGCCCCCAATCATGTTACACCCCAGTCTAGGGGTTCTGGAGCGCAACGTGAGTTGAACCCATCTTCCCCGTGTCCCAAGTGGCCACAACTAAAAACTCTGTGTGAGCTCAACCATAATGATTTATTTACTCGGCCAAGTGCCTATTTACAATATATATGCAACAACTAGTGTTGTGTCGTTCACAAACGATTCGTTCAAAAGAACCAAATCTTTTAAGTGGAATGTGAGGCTAACAGATGGATTGGTGCAGCATCAGCAGTACTGCGAGCATTGTACTGGATCGTAGTGGTGCAGAGAGAGCTGAGCCTAAAGGCAAAGCTTTTGAGTCAATCAAAGTCAGTCTACGTCCCAACTCGCACCTATGGGCATAACCTGACGCCCAACAATATTGGAGCCCATGACAGAAATGCAGGCTCAACTGAATTTGACTGACCTTTGAGTTGCAGCTGTCTTTCAACTGATTTATGCATGTGTGCAATTTGTAAGTCCTACCCACTGTGTTGTATCATTGAAGGGATGCACTGCAAAAAAAAAAAAAAATCTACCCCTGTACAGTGTGTACCCACAAATAAATGAGCAACACATTGAGACTAGCGTGCACTGAACCAGACTGTAGACATGTGGATTTTAATGGAAAAATTGGCATTTTCAAATTGGAGCTAATGAAGTTTTCTTGGCTTTCACAGCCATCCCCGAGTAGAAACTTTTAACTACTTACTTATTGGCTTCATTTTTATATGGTGGAGTTACCACTCGGATTCAATGTCAAAGCAAGTTTGGGTCTTTCTCAGGTTGATGCAGGATTGGACAAATCTTTCAAAGAATGAGCAGGACGACATGCAAATCAAGTGTCTGAACTTATTTTCTCTTCTGAGTTACCAGAGCCACGCCAACTGTCTCCCTCATTTCTGGTTGATAGCTGTAGCTTCATATTCATAGGTGTGAGAATGACACTGACAAAATCCCATTTTTAAAATGTTGAACTACTCCTTTAATTCCTGCTCTATATATAGTCACTCAGTGTTCTGTTGCTTCTTCTCGCTCTGCTTGTCTGCATTCACCAGAGACTCTTATTCCTCTTCGGGTGGCAAAGCCTATTTAGAGGATCTTTGGGCACTAAATGTCTTCACAAAAACTGTCTAAAATGAAATTTTAAGGTCAGCGGGTCTGTCATCTGGAGTGACATACAGTGCCCCTGAAAAGTCACATGGATGCACATCTACTGACACACACACAAATACACACACATACACATGCATGAGAGATTATCATTGACAAAGCAGGGAAGTGTTATAACACCTTCGGGAAATTAGCTGATGGCAGCAACTCAGCTGTTCTCAGTCTTACCTGAAGGGATCAACTTCCAAAGGAGCCAAGCAAATATCAATAAGGGTGATTTAACTGTGCACTGCTCAAGGATAAAGAGCTTATGCATGAAACCTCTGGAAATACTCTTGAGCGTGGCGTGTAAAATGCTGTCGCTTCAAGCAAATCCCTGATTAAATCCCCCAAACACGTTTAGTTGGCTGTATGAGGGGAGGCCTGGTGCTGGCTGTGAGGCACAGTGCCAACATGGAGGAGGACAGATAGAGAGTTGGGGGGGCATGAGAGAGAAAGAGAGGGGAGGAGGGGTTTGTATGTGTCTCAAAAACCTACAGTGAAGTGCATTACATCCTGCTGATGAGCCTGTTTGAAGTCTGAAATTTTATGTCTCCCCTCAGGCGAGTATCATCCTCTGTGTGTTACAAGAGTGTCATTTTCACAGATGATGCCACACTGACTGTGACACTGACACTGAGTGGAAACCACTGATGTAACATCCCCATTATACTGATGGAATTTTAAATCCTCAATATTATCCAACCAATTCTTGTGTCAAATAAAGGGATTTTTCAGTGTTTTTGAAGTGAGGTTATATCAGTTTATTGTCACTGTAGGTGTACTAGCCACTGTGGATGCTGGTCAGCTTGGACTTGTTACTGAGAAGCTGCTGGTAGAAACAGCTCTCATGTATGCGACCATTTTCTGCAGACAGAAACATAGTTTAACAAAACAAATTTTAGACTCTGACCCAAGCACTCATCTCTACTCAACTCTACTAAACTCAAAAAATGTTCTGCATCTTACTTTGGCATCAAAAGGCCTGTTTATTCTTGCGCTATTTCCAGGCGGAAAACATAGAAATCCTCTTCTGCACGCAGTAGGATAAGCTTATTGGATATATGATGTATGAGTCACTCATGTCTTGTGAAATTTTGACATTTTCATTTCAGTTTTGCATAATTTTAAATACTGAATGCATAAGATCCTCCTGAGGACACAGTAATGTATGTAGTTTGTTATTTCAGATCAGTCTTCCTCCTCAGTTGCTAACACAGTGTCCTTTTAATCTCGACCATGGATTGTGCCATTATGTTTTAAAATGCAATGAAAGCTGAACAATAACTTTAAAGACTACATTTGGCTTTTCTAACTTAATTCTTGAATGCTATAGAAACAGAGTAACAAACTGTGACAGTGGATTGCAGGCTGTAAGCGTGTACACCTCTGGTATAATCTGTTGCCTAAACATCCTGAAGTACAAGGTCTCACTTGTGACACCAAGTAGTTTTCTCAGTTCATGAGCATTATCTCACAGTTTGCACACCTGTATCACCAGGTACTTGGTGGTACAGGTGTCCAAACTGCTCAACAGTTCGCATGGAAGTTTCTCTGCTTTTTTTCCTCCAGCACATGACTCACCTTTTTCTTTTACAAGTCGTGCATAAACATGTCCACCTGTATCCACAGTAAATGGCATGTTAATGGCTCTGATAGAATCACTTGTTAGTTAGTTTGGTTAAATTTGTTTTCCTTTAAAGTCTGCAAATCTGAATAGCTTTGCATACAGAAAAATCTGCCTGTGTATGTTGCTTCTTCCAAACAAATGGGCTCTCTGATGGCATGATAAGTTGATGGAAAATTTCTGAGTAAAGAGTACACTTAAAGAAATATTGCAGTATTTCTGAAGTGAGGTTGGTTTCATAACACTAAGTGTTGTACTCACAATGAATGCCAGTCAGCTCGGCCCCCTCAATGAAAAAACATGGTGAAATCTAATGCTAGGTATGCTATATTTTTCGGCATACTGGGCTAACCCTGCCACTCATTTTAGCTAACTTTGAGAGACTCTGACCCAAGTGTACATCTCGGTTTAAGGTCCGATGGGTCACTTTTGGGAACATACACATTTTTATTTTCAGAGTATATTTTCCGTCAATAATCCATAAGGCATGTCATTGGGAAGATTTTTTCAATGTAATTTTTTTAAACTATTTTTTTTTAGCTCTTTTGTTACAATACACCCTAAAGTGTTCTGTAACACTTAGCCCATTTGAGCCAAATTGCCTTATAAAAACTCCCTATAACTTAGACTTTTAATCATTTGACATTCATGTGTCTACATAAAATTTGCAGGCTTGGCTTCAAATTTGCAGTTTTCACTATTTTCCTGAAGATGGTGCCATTTACCCACTTCAGCACACTTGGCTAAGAGCAAACACCTCTCCCAATAACCACTAGGGGCGTTATTCAGGCTGCTGAGGAAGAAAAGCCATTTCCCTTTAAGCAGTCTCTGGTAAATAACGTTTTTTTGTATACAAATGGTAGAGGATAATATTAAAACAACAACAACAAAAAAAGAAAAAATGTATGGTACTTATATAATGTGTCTACATTAAGGAATCAGTAAGTCTGGTCTGCCTTATTTGAATGCAACCCAGGGTTTGATTTTACACTGAGCACTTGGGCGTTGCGCCTTCGTTTCACAGCCAACAGCATCAGGAAAGCTGGCTGCATGAAATATCACTTTAACATCTGTAAAACTGGTTGTAGATTTACAGCCTTTGTGAAGAGAACGGGACAACATTGCCTCATATGGATCATTAATTTTTATTGCTTTTCCTGGAAATCTCTTCATTTGGTGTTTTAATGCCAATTCAGGAAGTAATGGCTGTTTTATGGGGATGCAAACACACTTGTCAGTTCTGTGGTCATAGAAACAGAGAATGAAAAGCTGCAGAAACACAAACTTGATACATTCACTTCGACAACAGATGACTTTTGATGGATAAATCTATGTGAATGCCTCATGCCGAGTCAGTGAGTCAGTCTTTTCACTTGAAAACAAACTTCTCCATCTGTCTTCACACTGACTGGCACTAAGAATTCACAGCGCAGCAGCAACAACATGGCCTTGAGCTGTTTGCCATAGAATAATCAGCCTGCACATCTCATTAACAGAGGCTGACTCATGTCATTTTGAAATAGGGGTCACGTGTCCTCAAAAATGAGGGTATGAAAAACCAAGGAATCAGGGTCAGAGTTTGAGAATCACTAAGAATACTCTTACAGAATGAACTGACTGGCTGTGTCAATGGAAATATGCAGATTCAAAGGAATTTTTGTGGTTCATGCATAATTTATGAGCTTCATATTGTACTGAACATACCTCCATAAAAAGGGACTGTTTTTCAAGAGAAATTGCACGGCATTCTTTATTCACTTCTGCAAAGCATTAACAACCATCAGGGAGATAGAAAAAAAAGTGTTGCTTTCAAATGGATTAAGCTCAGACTGAAATGAAAATCTCCTTAAACTATGAAAAGGAAGCTGGTCTCTGACTTCCCTGGACACTGGGGCATTAACATTTTTAGCAAGTCTGCACAAGATAAACCCTTTTTTCTGAGATTTCGGCGTCATCTGTGATGCTCCAGTCAGCCAATCACTACGATTACATCAAATGTAACCTTTCAGAAAGACTGATACCTCACTTTGAGAGTGTAATTAGCTCTTTGAAGTGTGGTGAAGGCTTAAGGTTTAGAAGTAGGGCGACTCTTTCATGTGTGATTAGGAGTTCTTAAGTCCACCCTCACATAGAGAAAGAGAAAATAAAAGAGAAGTGTTATAAAAAAAAAAGGCTCATCTGCCTTGAAATGTCACAGGCACTTGGCTCTGGTCTTCCAGGACCTTTTTCATATGCTTACAGAGTGGATTTACAGGGCTGAAGAGGACACTGACAAACTGCAGGAGAGGAGAAAGTCTCCTGTGGCAGAGAGAAGGTGAGGAGGGAGGAGAAGAAGAAGAGCAGAGGGGATCGAGTGAGAGAGCAGAGAAGGGTGCACAGTGTCAGAGCTGTCGACTGCACTCAAATTGCTCACTACAATCAAAACGACGTGGAGCTTTGGCTCAGATGCATGAGGCTGGGCTTACTGGCTTACCTCAGCACTGCACCAGAGAGGGACTGTCACTGGATATTACCGTGTGGACCACTGAGCTGATTCCCCCCTGCATCACAGTGGACAGGGACAGCTTTACATCCTGCCTTACTTCCACTCTCCTGCCCCGGGGACACGCACAGACACACCTCTCACTCTCACTTCCTTGACTGTGTCTGTGCACAGTCCTGCTGTAGGAAACATTCACATTAAATATGAATGGCCTTATAATAAATGGAAGCTCTTAGAGATTGCATCCTGGGTACAAAAATGTGATCGGATGTTGTGACACAAAGCTCTCAACATTCTTGCCATTTTCGTGGTTTGAAATCATTTGGGAACAATCTGATACCACATCATGTTTTATGGCTATTGCTCTCTTTGCATTTGAAAAGTGCCTTTCCCTTCTATACTCTGCATGGAGATTCAACATGGTCACCAAGCTATTTCTACAGTTCCGGACAAAAATGTTGCACACTATGACTGTAAGAAGCCTACTTTTGGCTACTTTATGTTAGAGAATGTGTGTGAATGGCATTAATTCCTCAGTAATACAAAAAATGTTCATAGCAAAGCAGCATTTTAGGCCAAAGTTTCCTCTATTTCCTCCTCAAGGGACAAGTGCGCGGAGGAATGGCTGGGACTGGATCTAGTTTTCAGGCTGATGGAGCCATACTGTTTGGCTGAACGCTTAGTATAAGCGATCACCTTCCTCCTGTACATCTCCCCTTTCCACATGGAAATCATGAGCAGAGTGGAGAGCACCACGCCGCCCAGCGTGAGCAGACACAGTCCCGCTATGACGCACCGATCCAGGTGGGCACCTATCCGTGCGCTTTCCATCTCCAGCCTCTCCATCTCCCTCGCTGACACGCTGTCACGATCCACCACCACATCCCGAGGCACGGCGTAGGAGATGATCACCAAGGAGATCCCAGTGACTAAGAACGTGACTGCACTGATAAAGCCGTAGTCTATAGAGGTCCCTGAGCCCTCCCCGAATGAGAGATCATCCTCGGACATGAAGGAGATTTCCGGAAAAGTCTCAGAGCAGGGTTCGCCATTGCGCACGGGTCTATGAGAACTTTTACAGCTTGTTTCCGGGCTTGCCAGTCTCAAGTTAACGTTTTCATCTATATACGTAAATGATGTTTCTAATTCCTCGTCGCAACAAACCCGGACTTTCTCCTCACCGAAGTGACCGAGTTTAACCTCCGCGCCCCCTTTGCGCGGCGCCGTCCTTGGTGCTGAATGGTCATGGCAGCTGCGGGCTGGGTTACAGTAGCCCTCCCCCAGGGGGACTCCTCCTGTTGATCCACCAGACTTGCCTGGAAGCGCGCCTGACACCCGGTCAAGGACGTCGGTGTTGTCGGGCTGTTTGGCTCCCTCGACTGCGGGAAGCAGCTCTGCAGAAGCCATTCGTGTTTCACCCCCGGCTGGTTCACTCTGAGCCTTCCTCCCACGATATTTTGCCTCCACTGCATGCCTTAAAAAGAAGACACACAGAAGCCCAAAGTTAAATTCTTTTCATTAATAACCACAATGCGCAAAACAAAACTTGTGCGTAATTTGGAGAATTTAGGTTGGGTTCTTCGAAATCACTTTAAAGTTGATCAGATTGTTTAGGAAAAACCTGCGGACCTCTGCTGAAAGGCGCTTACAGAGGCTGTGATTAGCCAAATACCTCAGAAGCCAATTAGTGAAACAATCCACGTATAAACCTAGACTGAGCTACATTCTGGCTCTGTTTTCAAAGGACACAGCGCCTTGAACACATACAAGCAAAAACAAATCAAACAATAGGCTAAATATTCAGAATTAGATTTGGACTGTAGCAGAGTGACTCCATCAGGAAATAGTCTCATACAAACGCTAGTTAATGCAAAAAAAATGCATCTCATGCTGCAAGAAGCTATTTTGTGATACGGCTGCACACTTCAGATTCAGCGGAAGATGTGAGATGCTGCTCTGCATAAGGGTGGACCAGTCATGCACACAATCCGCTTTTATTTTTTCTAATCCCTGACCAAAAAAAAACCCCTCCACGGATACGGATACAAATAAAGAAACACACTCACCGCGCTACTTCAGCATCCCCTCCTTCTTCTCCTCTTTTTAGACACTACAGCGGGTTAGGGCACATAACGAGGACCAGATAAGGGAGCCTTATCATTGAATATGCTCTGAATAGCTCCCTCCTCTCTCTCTCGCTCTCTCTCTTTCTCTCCTCTCGCTGCTGTGGCGGCAGGCTGCACTGAGGGGAGCTCTCCGTTAGTCCCTCCCACACACAGAGCATCAGCTGCCCGCGCAGTGGCGCTGAAAGGAGCGCCGCTATCTACGAGCCGATTGAGATCATCCCCAGTCAGTCAACACACACACACGGAAGGAGGATCTGAGCAGACGAAGAGCGATCCCCGGGACCTGGCTATCATATTTTACTGGCATTGCAATTCCGGGAAATAAGAAAGGGGGATCTGATGTCACATAAACGTCAGGGTTCAGTCCCTAAGCATTTAACAGTGCTACGGAGGAAAGGAGAACACCACTACTATGAACTATGGACAGTAAAAAGTCTCTGGGATGATTTAAGAATAAGCTTCAGTGGTATAAGGCTAATACTAAATACAATCAACGTTTATTTAGTGTAGTAACATGGTGCAAAGGGTATTGTTATGAAGAGTCAAGCACCACAAATTCAATGTTTAGCTATCACTCCCCAGGCACAGTTGGAGAGTGACACCTTACAGTTTCTTACTGTAAATGAGACTGACAGCATGATCCTGAGCCCAGATTATGGACATGCATATAACAGTCTGTACTGTATGTCATCATCTAATGCCGACATCATATCAGAACAACCTTTCCAGCGGTGCTGTGCAAACAACGCTGTTAAGCTGCATGCATCATGCACCATCTGTTCTCCTGTGCTCTCTCAGAAGATTATTGGTGACTATGTCAAAGCCATCCTAATCTATTTTTAATCTAGAGATCCAAAGGGTCATCTGTTTTGTGACCTCCTGTAAATCTTTGAAAGGGTTCGTCTCATTTATGGTCTCAAAATCTTCAGCCTGCAGAGGAGGGAAAACCTGCTGTATGCCACAGGGCAACAACACATCACAGTTCTGATCAACACAGATCTGCCTTCAGCAGCTTTTTTGTGAGCACTTCAGGTTTCTATGTTTATGTTACAACAAGGTAAATGCACAGAGTCCTATCAAATGCTATAGAAGCCTGTAGGAGCCTGCGGGTTACAAAACTGGATCAGCGTTTTGTAGCCCCTTCTTAAAATATAAAATATAACATAATGAGGCTGCAGCAATAAAAAGGGGATCGGGGGTCTACCCTGAGGAGATTTTAAGCTGTTTCTGTTCATCATTTTAATATTCATGGAACAATTTGTGGTAGAACTTGAATTATGTAGAAGGAAAAAGTGTAATTATTAATACAGGCTTCATTGAATAAAGAATGCTACTTACTGCATTAGGATGACATTCTGACAAGATTCAATCTATTGTTTCTCAAACTGTTACTTTGGACTATAAAGTGCATTAAAGCACACACAAAAAATCAAATGAAAGATATAAATAGTTCCATAGGATATAAAGCTAAACTCACAAACCAGTCAATGAGGTCAAACTACCAAAAAGGCCCACTTTGTTCACATCCTGGGCACCTATAAGTGCGTTTTCCCCATAATTTTACTTCAAGAGGTTTAGTGACGCATTTTATCATGTTTTATACTTGAGAAGCAACCAAGAGAGCATTTCAGTGGCAGTTTCCCTGACACAAGGGCACCACGATCAGTCAACATGTCTTGGCAGCATCTCTGAAAATAAATGCTAAATAACAGATGGCTGTTTTGGGAAGTGACAAACATTTATTTTGGCAGCCACCATCAGTGATTTGATCCCACTTAAAGCTTAATATTCATTTGCTGACTGTTCTACATTATTTGCCGCAGTCTGGCACAAACTGTAAATATAGTCACCACTTTTCCTGGAGTCCTAGATGCTAGGTGACGGGCTCTGGCTCAATTCCCAACAAGACTCCATTTAACAGATGAGTAAAAGAAAGAGAGAGGGAGCTAGAGGAACAATGGGGACTCTGAGACAAAGACTACCTCCGCTGTGTTTATCCCAGAAACCAGTTTGCAGAGAGGTGGATCAGCATGTTTAATGTTGCATTCAGTCGGATTTTTGCCAACTTTATCTAGTCTTATTCAGAGAGAGAGAGATAGAGCTGATGAATCTGACTATGTGCTTGTGTGAGGCGTAACAATAGCCAACCATCAGATGCTATCTGTCTGCAACAGTGCACCATTTTGCCTGCTGGCAAGGACACCAGGCCTGTCAGGGGAGGGGGTGCTATAAATCCTCATATAGTGTCTCTCCTGCCACAGACATGTACCCACACACAGCATTAAGATTATGGGACATAGATGTAGCTCTGCTTTTTTTTCTCTCTTTTTTTTGGATGCAGATACTAGAAAGAGGAAGGAGGAGGAGGAGGAGGAAGGGAGTCCCTGCAAACAGGGCAGCACGGAGGGGTGAAGAGCAGGACAGTGTGTGTGTGAGTGTCGGTGTGAATTATGAAGTGAGTTAATGAATGATAGAGTAAGCTCGCTTCACTTGCAGATGCTCCAAGTGTGGGTCAGTGTCCCACATTAGAAGAACAAATGACAGATATATGAATATGAACAAGCAAAGCTTTAGGAAGAACTGCTGCTGCTAGCGCTCAGAGGACCTGTGCTCCAGAAGTTCAAACTCAAAACACACAAATACAAAGGTTCACAAAGCCACAAGCAAGTTCTTGAAAAGGCTTCAGTGATTACACACCCAGGAATGGCAAGAAATGTTGCATGTTAGAGACACAGCTTAAAGAGGCCAAGGCATGAAAAACTGACTTTGTTAACGGGAGGGGGGGGGGGTGCATATCAGGGATAGACAACCGCTACAATCCCCCAAAGTGCGAAAAAATTCCATCCAGTCGTTTTTTAGTTATCTCCGTATTTGGGAACTGTGTGCTCAGAGCCGGCCGGAAATGACGTCATGTCAGTGCTGGCGGGTTGATGGTTCTGCCCATCGAGCCGCCCACTGCCCTACCCACAAAATTATCAGAACACCGCCATTATTCCCGGCCGCTCGCTCGCATTGCATCGGTTAGAACCATGGTCAAACTACGATCTGAAAAAGAGGCAGCGTTTGCTCTGTTGTTGGCTGCACAAACGAGCACAAAACTCTTTTGAAAACTCCCTCGTCGGAGGATTTGAGGACTCAATGAGTGGACTTTATTTATAATGGGAATGTACCCGCGGCACTTCCAAAATATCTGTACCTATGTGTGTACCATTTCACTTCGGACTGTTTTATCAACGAGGGACAGTTCAACGCTGGATTTGCTAGATGTCTGAAGATAAAGAATGGATCCGTACCAACTATCCGTGATCCTACTACAAACGTGGCATCTGTAAGTGTGAACATTTAATTTTGACTTACTGTTTAGCCTAAATTCCCCCCGATGCCTCAGCACGGCCACCACGCTTTGATAAACACACCGGATCCGCGCCGGTTTACCGGATCCTCCCGTATTTTAGCCGCTCGCTTCTTCCCTGGCAACTCCGGCGGCGGGGGACAAAATCCCCCTCAGGAGCAGCATGTAGCTTTAGCATTTACCCGTGCGGCGACGCGCGTCTTTTGGCTCAAATACGGGACGTCCCGGCTAATGCTGGACGGTCGGCCATCTAATTTATTAGCAAAGGCTTCAGAGAAGTTTTAGAGCACCAAAATCTTACATTGTAGCAGAGCTCTGGTTGATATTTTTCAACATTCATATCTTCCTCCTTAAGCGTGACCCTCCTGGCGGCTCTGAATAATACATAGGACGTGTCGACGAGGTCGCTTCAAGTCGCGTTTGGTCTGAACACGGAACACGAAAAAATCTTCAAAGAAGTTGGTTTTGTCATGATTATGGTTATGTTACCCGTATTTTACTAGTTTCATTTAATGTCTGGTATTTCACTAGCCCCGGTCTCTCTTTAAGATCTGTTCCTGTCTGCCCTGTCCCCGTCTTGTCTCATCATACCTGCCTCGTGATTGTCTCTCCCCACCTGTTTCCCATCACGCTCATTACCTCTAGTATTTAACCTCATGTCTCTCACAGTCTCATCGCCAGTTCACTGTACCTCACAGTCGCTTTCCATCATTTTGTCTTGTTTTTTCATAGCCTGCATGATTCTGACCTTGTTAGTGTTTTTTGGATTTGCCTTAAGCATAGTGATTCGGATACCTCTGCCTGTTGGATACCGCTCTGCTTTCTGTGTACTGAACTTGGACTGTTTTAATAAAGCCTGACTTTTGCCTTTGAGGGCTTAGTCTGTGTCCTGCATTTGGGTCCCATTGATGGTTTTGTTCATGGAAGGTTTTTGGACAATAAAGCACTGAAAAATTTGTGTCAAGCTAAAATAAATAAATAAATAAAATAATTTAAAAAAAATTAACAAAAAAAAAAAGAAAATTTTCTAAACAATGTTAGTTTTTCCCTATGTAGGATGGAGATCTGTCAGCATCAACAGTAAAGCAAATTTACACACCTGAGAAGGAACCAGTTAAGCTGAACAATATTTAGAGATTTTCGAGCACTGTCTGCTACCATCTGTACAACGCCTTTTTTTTAGGAAGATCTCTTGTATGTCAGAAAGACCATGTAAAGGCCTACACCTTTATTAAAAAGCTTTGTTTTGCTGCACCGCTTTTGCGGGTTTCTAATTTGCAGTATTAGTGTATTTTCAGTGCATTTGCTGCTAATGCAGTTATTTTAAAGTATGTTTCATCTTCGTTTGTAGCATCATAAGTAGTATATAAAGAGATGGTTGTGACATTTTTTATAGATATCTTACAACTCATCGTTTTAGCCATTGCTCAGCTAGCTATACCTGCATAATGGTTTGAAACTAGCAGGGAAAAGTGCAACACATTTTGCCAGAGAATCTACAATTTAATCCTACATAAGTCATAGAACTTAACCGAAACAATTACAAGAACTGAATGAACAAAATATGGAAAAATGATTTTTTTTACCTCAAAATATTTTTTTCTGTAAAGACTAGCTGCATCTGCTCACAGAATATTGCTGTACGTTACTGTAGATGAAGAGGGTAAACGCTAAAATGATAATTCCAATGTTATCTCAGGTTGGTGGAAATGTTGGTGTTACAGCTTTCCCTGTGTCACAACCCTATCCAGTCTCCCCCTATATGACACACAAACATAAGTCCACCCTCAAGGCATCATTTAGAAAGTGCAAGCTTAAGAGGGATCCAAATTCAGCCTCCAAAGTCAGAATTTGTTAAGCAGCTGAATGTGGGTAATCTGAGTATATTCTGCCCTGGAGATTAAAGTACATGGCATTAGTGCTCATAGATGCTCCATACATCCAACATGACATTAATGCTTCATAAT